ATGTGCACACCTCTTCCAAAAAAAGAACCAAATGAAAACCCATCCCACTAACCTTTTTGAACAGGCAGGTGGATGAAATTGTTCAGCTGCTATTTTATGATGCTCAGAGAATAGTTATGAGAATATTATTGTATGGGCTTTTCAAATTGAGCATGGTAGTTCAAAGCTGAAAACACTTTAATATTATAAGAAGTGTCTTGAAGGTGCTTTTTATCCCAAACCATAGATGGTTAAAAATAGGCTGTTGCAGGGAGAACCAGGTTTCCCATCTCTTGTTGTAGCAGCTGTGTTTGAAAAGGAGCCTGGGGGAATCAGATGAGCAGACCCCTCCAATTTTCAGTGGGAGCTGGTTGCCTAATTCTCTCTGGAGTCTCTAAAATTCCTTGGTAGCATGTACATTGGGCTACTTGTGTACCGTAGCAAAATAAGACACATCTCCTGAAGTGTGTTTTTTAATTTAAAGTTGTGGGGTTTTGTTTTTTTTTTTAAAATACATGGCATTCTGTATTTCTTTCTCGCTTATGTACCTTTTAACACTATGAAAATAGGATCTGCTTCTCAGGAGTTCAAATGGGAGAAATAAAGCAAGGGAATGGATGACATCAACAACAATCACTCCTGTTGCTTAAGCAGTAGGACACTAGGGATCCTATCAGTATTTCCTGCTGGAAAACCAGTATGTAATTCCCTGTTGCAGCCCCTGAATCTCACCAGTTGTAAATGCCTATGGGGAGAGGTATCACAGTGCAGACAGCATTGCTAGAAGGAGTATCAGTCCTTCTCCATTACTGTACTTGGGAAAAGAGGACATACTCATGTGTAAACATTGTTCTTGTGAAGATGATTTTGGAATGAAATTTGCTAGAATAAGATTTTTTTTTTTTTTCCTTAGCTGAAGTAGTGTTTTTTGGTATGCTCTTGGATAGTGCTGTTTAGTTCTGTTAGCCTGGCTAAATAGAGGCTCCATGATAAATGAATGCTTACAGAAGAGTAGAGATGGTGATACATGAAAGAATATTAACATATCATGAAATTACAAAGCCATGATTCACATCAAAAGAAAAACTTTGTACCTAATATTTCAAACAGAGTAGTGAGACATAAAGTGAGACAGTTTTGGCTTCCTGTGGTTAATACACTGATCTGCTGTCTACTCGCATCTTTTTGTGTCAGTTTTACAACTTAATAACCAAATGCTGATTTATCTTAACATATAATAAATTAAAAAAATAAAACCAGCATAAGTTAGTTGTGGAAATAATTGTAATTTATACAGATTTATCTTGATTTCTTTTGTTGGTTACAGTTTTATTAAACTAGTATTTTTTTTGTTAATTACTACTAAGTAAATGTCTTGTCGAATGTGGATTTGATAAAGATAAATACCTGAACTGCTATTGCATTTCTAATAGAGCTGCCTGTGTTACTATCAATAGATGTGATTGTAGCAGTTATGTGTAAAATCCCTTCTCTAGAGTATTTTTGAAACGCTTTAGTAGAACTCTCTTACTGTGGTGCTAGCATGTAAACAGATCATTTTGGAATTAGGACTGTAACTGATAGTTCAGAGATTTTACGTAAATTTGTTATGACTGTTTCTGTAGAATACACCCATCTCTGAATGGCTTTTAAGCCTTATACTCATACTGACTACTAGGCTCAATTTTTTATTTGCTGCCGTTAATGAAGGTAGTCTACCATCTGTCACTTCATTCAGATGAAACGGGAAAAACTTTTTTAAGGACACTTAAAAAAACCGGGAAACAAATCTGTCATCCTTTAAAAGGATCTCAGACAAAAGGCTCCTCTTTTCCCTTTACTGCCTTGCTGTTTTGGGGAGAAGCATGCTGATACAACTCATACTTTGAAGTAATCACAGCCATTCTTTACTGCTTTTATTGGGGTATTGTAATTAAAATTACTGAATCATTCAAGGACTTTGCTTAACTTTTCTCCCTATAGTATGAAAAGGACAGGGCGGGGGTGAGGGTGGAACGAAAAAGCCTTTTGTTTTTAACTTTTAGTTGGATTGGAAGATTTTCTTTTTCCATGCCCTCCATTATGAAATTTGACCTAAATATTAAAATTTTAAAATAACAGGAAAGTCTTTGTGTTAAAAGGAGTACAGTTCAGGGGTTATGGTATCAGATGGGAGTTACAATCTGTTTCTCTTGCATAGGTGTTTTGTCTTAATCTTTGGCTTTTCTGTATGAACTCCGTGTCTCCTTCTTTGCAATAGAAATGTTATTATTTTAAAATGTATAGTATAAAAGAAGCTTTGGTATTAGAATATGATTTATATGAATTATATGAATATGATTTATATGAATTATTGGAGCCAACTGGACACTTCACTCTTGCTGTGGACTACTAAATTATTTTAGTACCGTATTTCATTTTATAATCCATTGGGCCTTGGATCTTATTCAGTGTGATACTAAATTACTGCCACAAGCATAAAGCACCATTCTACTATCATAATTATTTTGAGAAATCAGCAAATAACTTCTCTGCTGGTATTTTTCTTTCCAAAGGAAGCTGGCCAAGACCCAACACAATAATTATATTGTTTAGTATGAGAACAGTATATAGGGTGGATCTTAAACTCTGTGTGCTTGCAGATGCTGTCCTTTATGTAAATATTTTGCTTTTTATTGTATCATGTAATTCATACGATCCTGTTTTTGAAGAGCATTAATCCAGCAACAGATAATATATTTAAGCCTATTAATACAGCTAACTGCTTTCTCTCCATTGTATTTTCCCAGATGTTGACTTACTTTGCTGCATTTGAGGTATTCTTTGAAGAAAATCTGCCAAAGTTATTTGCTCACTTCAAAAAAAATAACTTAACTCCAGACATCTATCTTATTGATTGGTAAGACATTGGATTGGAAAACATAATTAATGTGCATACTAGCATAGAGCTCTATGTCAGTAGTCATGCCAGAAGCTGGAGTGCTCTTGCCTGGTTTAGTATTCTTTTAAGATGAAGGCTTTATCTTTTGTTCAGTACTTGAGTGTCAATCCAAATCGTTCCCATGTGCTTCTGTGGTGTTTAACATTTGCCTAACCTTTATAATTGTACTTCTGTTGAGCTTGAACCTTATTTTGAAATACAGCTGTATAGCACTTAATCCATATTCAGTGCATATTTGGATTGATCTTCTGAGAAAATCTGTCAGTTTTTCTGTTTTATGTGCAGGTGTGTATCAGGGGTGTATATCCAGACAGTATTGCTAGTCTTGCATTTGAAAGTAATAGTTTGTCCTCTTGCACACAACAGGAAGAGAGTAGTTAAAACAGAGTATTTCTATCCATACAACAAAAAGCTAGAAGCTACAGAAAAGCAAGCACCTCGGCTTTTGGCAGGATGAACTATGGCTGCTGGGCAGTATCTCACTCACATGTTAGGTGGTCCCAGATCCTGTTTAGAGGATCCCAGTACAGGTTGTTTAAAAACTGATCTTGACACAGTCCAATTGTTGAATAGTTAATGGGCATTAGCATGTGTTTAATTACTGCAGCTATTCCACTTAGCAGACAGGCAATTACAATCTTTTTATTTGGCGAAACTGCCTTCCTTTTTAGTTCTAGTGTAATTAGAACCTTTTTCCTTAGAGAGGAAAAAAGACACGGATATTATTTGCGCTCCTGCCAAATTTCACTGTGGTATAAGGCACTCCAAATTGAGTATTTGCATTTGTGCCTCTCAGGGTTTGGTTTGGGGCAGCTAAAATGTCTCTTCTGAGCAAGACTTTGTTGTCAGTGTCAGGATGATATGAAATCTTTCTTGTGAAAAATTGATTTGCCCTTAAATTGTTGATAACTTCTCCTGTTCTCAGGTATCTGACTAAATACCTTCAATAAAAGATGGAATTCCCAGTATTAACAGCATTTTTTTCCTGAGATTCATAAGTTTTTATTTTGGAAAACATTTGTATTGTGTTAATGCAATTCTACCTGAACCAAGCTCTTGATACCCTGGTGATTTTTAAGACCTAGTTGTTAGCACTGAACATGTTCCTGATCCATTAGACGGAAATCCATTTAAAGTAATTCAGTCCAATCCAACAGCTAGAAGTTTGAATACCTGAGTTTTCATAGGATCACAGAATTGCTGGGGCATTGGAAGGGACCTCTGGAGGTCATCTAGTCTAAACCCACTGCTCAAAGCAGGGTCAGCTAGAGCAGGTTGCTCAGGAGCTTGTCCAGTCAGGTTTTGAATATCTCCAAGGATGGGGACTTCACAGCCTCTCCAGGCAACCTGTTCTAGTGTTCAGCCACCCTCACAGTGAATAAGTTTTTTACTTTCTTATGTTTAAATGGAATTTCCTGTATTTCAATTTGTGCCTGTAGGCTCGTGTCCTTTCACTGGATACAACCGAGAAGAGTGGCTCTGTCTTCTTTATTCCCTCCTGTCGTGGTTTAGCCCCAGCCAGCAGCTAAGCACCACGCAGCCACTCACTCCCCCTGCCCCGGTGGGATGGGGGAGAGAATCAGAAGAGTAAGAGTGAGAAACACTCCTGGGTTGAGATAAGAACAGTTTAATAATTGAAATGAAGTAAAATAGTAATGATATTAATAACAATATAATAATGATGATGATGATGATGATGATAATAATAATATACAAAGCAAGTGATGTACAATGCAATTGCTCACCACCGGCCGACTGATACACAGCCCGTCCCCGAGCAGCGATCGCTGCCCCCCGGCCAACCCCCCCCAGTTTCTATATTGAGCATGACACCGTATGGTATGGAATAGCCCTTTGGCCAGTTTGGGTCAGCTGTCCTGGCTGTGCCCCCTCCCAGCTTCTTGTGCACCCGGCAGAGCATGGGAAGCTGACAAGTCCTTGACTAGCATAAGCAGTACTTAACACACTGATGTTTTAATTGTTGCTATCAACATTCTTCTCATCCTAAATCCAAAACACAGCATTATGCCTGCTACTAGGAAGAAAATTAACTCTATTCCAGCTGAAACCAGGACACCTCCTGTCAAGCATTTTTACACACTTAGGTCTGAGCCATCTCTTCTCCTGGCTAAACAGTCCCAGACTCTCCCTGTGTATCAGATGCTCCAAGCCTTTAATCGAGTTCATGGCAAGCTGGACTTGCTCCAGTGTATCCATGTCCCTCTTGTACTGGGAAGCCCAGAGCTGGCTCACCAGTGCTGAGGAGAGAGGCGGGATGACTTGCCTTGGCCTGCTGGCAGTGCTATTCCTAATGCAGCCCAGGAGCTTGTGGACGTTCTTTGCTGCAAAGGTGTGTTGCTGACTTACATTCAACTTGTCGTTCACCAGAACCTCCATGTCTTTTTCTGTAAAGCTGCTTTGCAGCCTGCTGGCTTCCCACGTGTATTGGTGTCCAGGCTTATTTCCTCCCCAGGTGCAGGACTTGGCATTTCCCTTTGTTGCACTTCATGAGGCTCATGTCGGCTCATTTCTCCAGTGTCTCAAGGTCCCTGTGGAGTGGTGTATCGATCACTCCTCCCAGTTTTGTATCACCTGCAAACTTGCTGAGGGTACTATCTGACCCATCATCTAGGTCTTTAATGAAGACATTTAGAAGTATTGGATGAGTATCAAACTCTGGAGTACTCTACCAGTGGACTGGCTTGAAGGTGTACTTCATGCCACTAATGACAACCTTCTGAGCTTGGCAGTTCTAGCCAGTTTTCAGTCAACCTCACTGTCCATTTATCTAGTCCATACTTCATCAGTTCATCAGCAAGGATTTTATGGGATACAGTGTTGAAAACCTTGCTAACATCAAGATAAACCACATCCATTGCTCTCACCTCATCCACCAAGCCAGTCATCTCATTGTAGAAGGCTATCAGGTTGGTCAGGCATCATTTTGCTTTTAAATCCATACTGACTTCTCCCAATCACCTTTGTGCCATTCATATGTTTTGAAATGATCTCCAGGAATTTTTCTTCCATTACTTTCCCAGGGATAGAGTTGAGGCTGACCAGCCTGTAATTCCCTGGATCCTACTTCTTGAAGATCAGAGTGAGATTTCTTCAAGTCCTCAGGAATCTCCCCTGATCGCTGGGACCTGTCAAAGATAATTAAGAGTGGCCTCGCAATGACACCAGAAAGTTTCCTCAGCACTCATGTGTGTTATCTCACCAGGTCCCATGCACTTGTATATGCCCAACTTGTTTAAATGTTCCCTAATGTAATCCTCTTCTATCTAGAGTAGGGCTTCCTTGCACTAGGCTTTCCTGCTGGTCTGGAGGACCTGGGATTCCTGAAGACAAATCTTCTCAATAAAGGCTGAGATGAAGGCAGTGAGTACCACAGCCTTCTGCATGTACCCTGCCCCATTCAGCAATGGGCTCATGTTTTCCTGAGTCATCTTTTCTGCTGATGGACCCGTGGAAAGCCCTTCTCATTGTCCTTAACATCCATTGCCAGATTCAACTCCAGCTGGGCTTTGGCTTTCCTAGCCCCTGCCCTGCATATTCAGACAATGTCTCTGTATTTCTCCAGGGTCATCTGCCCCTCCTTCAGCCTCTTGTATGCTTCCATTTTGTATTTGAGTTTTGTCAGGAGGTTCTTGTTCACCCAGACAGGCCTCCTGCTGCCTTTGCTTGAGTTCCTTGATTTTCATATGCCTCTTGCACAGAGGGTAGTGTAACATGGGCTTTGTTTGACTTGGCTTTTACACTGGGATTAAATTTTAATGCAACATGAAGGAGAATGAGAGGAGGGGGAATGGATAGGCTCATTTCTCCGAACATTTGATGGCAGAAATACCATCAGAAGGATTTTTATGACTGAAGGCTGAGAATATTAAACTGAACTAGATCTATGCACAGAGCAGGAAGATGCTAGAAAAAATACTGGAATAGGATAGAAGGGAAGGAAGAAGGCAGAGGCTGGTATGTTCAATGATAAGAGGAAGGATGTTGAAGTTATATTGCCTCAGACAATGTTGTGAAAAGCTTGTGTGTGGAGGAAGCAATTGAATAAAAGGGATATCAGAATAGGAATACTGTAAACATGCTGGAGAATAACTGGATAGACAACATTAAAATTATTAGGTTATCATCTCTTTAATGGATTGCTAGTTTAATATCATGCTGTTGTAAATAAGGTGATTTTTTGTGTGTGTGTGGAGAGACTAAAACTGAGTGTCTTCGTGGTTAATATCACTCTGTTGTCTAACTTTCAGCTTTATATTGTAAAGAAGAAATCCTGAGGAACAACACCAGAAATTGGAGATTTAGAAAAAGCCTGTTTTGACAAAAGGTTGAAGGTTTACATTCCCCTCAGCAATTTTGCTTTGATAGATTAGCCTTGTATTTTCTTGAGTAAACATTTATGGGATCAGTTGTTCTCTCTGAGCACATTTATAGGTTTGAAAAAAAAAGACTGACTTACGAGCAAAGGACTGAGGTGTTGCAGTGTGAGTGTGTGGGGCACATCAGACCTCCCCTTTTGTTCCTTCTGTGGGTATTGTTAAGAACACTTGAAACTTAAGTCAGGAGTGATTGTGGATGGTGCTTCTCCAGGTCTTTGTACCAATGGACTGACAACCCTTAGCATTTCTTGCTGACTACCTGCATCCATATTAAAGCTGTTTATTTTAATCTCAAGAACAGTTCACTCTGTTCCTCCCCACCCCTAGGGAGTCACAACACTATGATCTTGCACAGGAGTGTAGACTAGTTGAGGTAGTCCTACCCAATCCTATATTAAACTTTTTTCACACTTGCCTTGAGCTAGACAGCTTGTCCCACTCTGTCTTTCATTTTGTTAGATAGTGGAGTTGGTATTTAACTGTGTAAGATTTAGGTATAATATTTAAATATGTGTGTGTATATGTGCATGTGTATATAAGTATATGTATACATATGTGTGT